GCCCATCCCAACCCGTGTGAATGTTATCAAACTTAAATCGTGTAAGCAGCGAGTTGCTTTCCTTGGCGGGCACTGGCGGCCAACCGTATCCCGCCTTTGGCTGCGACCACTTCTTCGCCTCCCTTTCGCCTAATGACTAACATAGCCTGTTGTCAGGCCTTGCAATCTCGGTCTTTGTTTTTGTTTTGCTTCCACCTCTTAGTGGGGAGTGCCGCGACCCGCGTTTATTCCGGTGTGTTGTTGGGGTAGTGGGAAGGGCACTCCTGGTCGCCTGTTAATGGGTGGCGGTAAAAAAAATGCGAGAGGCTTGGATGGACAGCCAGCACCACGTCACGAAGGCCAGCGGCACCGTCCCGCGCATCCGAACATCGGCACACGTGTTCCTTTCACCCAGAACCCGGCCGGCCTCACGTCGCCTGCCCCCTGCACCGCCGGCCCCCGCCACCCTAAGTCTAACCCAGTTCCCAAGTGCCTCCACATCTGCCAGCGGCGGCGGCGGACCGGCCGGCCCGGCGGGTCGATGCCAGGGGCCGGGCCCGCCGCCGCCCGGCGCACTGGCCAATAGCCAGCCGACGTTCCCCGACCTTGGCCACCGCTGCACGGCAGTGGGCGCGCGCCGGCTGACGTCGTCAGAGCTCCGACTGCACGGCTGGAACGCGCAGCGCCAGCCGCCGCCGCCGCCACGCGAAGGACGAAGCTCGTTGCAGGCAAGTGAGCGCGTCCGCGCAGAACACAGCCGGCCGGTTGCGGCCTGCTGCTTGCGTCGGGTGCGGCCGCTTGACCTGGCGGATGCTTGCTCGGCGTTGATCCGGGATACGCGACGCGTGGAGAAAGCATGAGCGGCCGTGCGCAGCGGACGCTGCGGCCTGTGTGCCGCGGTGCGGCCGCTGCTGTGTTTTATCACTGTGCCATGCTGGTCCCCATGCTTCTGCATCCAACGGTTGGCTGATTTTTGTTTGCTCAGGTTTTAAAAATAGGCTCACAGTGCAATGTTTGTTCAGAGGCGCATGACCCAAAAAGTCGGCGGCTTTAGCTTAGTGTCACGTCACAGCTGCGGAATCGATGGTAACAGTGGACGCACCGATCACATTGGCGTGTGCTGGAGGGGCGCGACAGGGTTATTGATAAATGTAGGCCATTATTAAACCATTTCTTGTCGATGAGCATCGCTCATTGGAGACTGAATTACATGGTCGCCATAGTTAGATGTAGTCTCTTAAGCCACCCACTTGAGCGCTGTCGATGGTTTTTCCTAGTCGGGTCGACGAAAGTAGTGCATCCCTTGTCGACGGCAATATGCGCCTGCAGACGACCTTCAGAACTTCTGCTCAGTCTGGCTGGTCCGGGCGGGCGCCACCGCAGTTATTTCAGTCCAGACGATGCCGTCCCACTGACCCAGGCTCGGGGTGCTGGGTCCGGACGTGCCAAGTATTCTGGCGAACATGCGCCTTTGGACCCTTAGCCGGGAGACAAAGACTGCTAAATCCGTGTGGTTGTTTCTCTCCATTCTCCGGCTGCGAACCGTCGCAGTGTCGGCCGCTTTGCAGTTAGATGATGCTGGTCATCTGCCGGAGCCGGAGAGCAAGCAATTCTCAGCCGGGCTCTGCAGAGAAAGCAACACACGACAGTTTGGTGAAGTCCAGCGTTGGTTTTACTATGCAATCCATTACACCAATCCGGACAAAACGTTCACTGGCCGAGTCGCGGTCCCAGCTTTCCGCCACCGCCCAGCGGGCCGACTGCGGAGCGTCGCCGGCCCAGCGGCAGCTGCCGCGCGACGAGCCCAGCTCAGCACGGCCGCCCTGTTTCAGTCCGCCGCGCCCGTGTCGAGTGCTGAGCGCGAGGACCTGCCGCCGCCGAACGATGAGGCTGCTGCTGCTCTGCGCACTCGTGACGGCAGTCACCGCCGTCGAGGAGAACCGGATCGACGACTCCAGGTACCGTGAGCTGCCGATCTACCGCGACGGCGGACCGGTCTTAAAATAGGCAGGGAAGGCCTCGAGGCTGCTGGACTTCGGGCGGCATGAGGTGGCGGCTCTCATGCCGATGAGAGCCGACCATCACTACCAGAGGGTATTGGCGACGTGATGTTAGTGGGTAGCAATGGTTATATTGACAAAACTCAATGTAACCAAAGCTAACGTACTAACGTTGCTAAACCAGTATCTCCCGCTATACGGAAGGTCGAAGGTAACAGTTAATCCCTCTCTCTCTCTCTTGCGATCAGTACGCCTTAATTAAACCAGTCGTTTGATGTCACTGTTAACAAACATGTAGTCAGTTTGGTCATCCCACCAATCTCAGTGTAAAAGTTGCAGAATGCAGGCTAGGCAGCCCCCCTTGCGCCGTCGATCTTCACGAGCTTTTGCATGGGAAGCGTACCATGGTGTTGCAAGACCACCTTCCGCAAACCGCCGTCTTTTGTATCACACCACCCGAGTGATTGCCACATCACGCCTTATCACCATTCACGTCATTGTTTGGACGCCACTCCGCAAATATGAAGCCTGGTGACTACTTAACACGCACCAGGTTGGCCAGCCAGATACCCTTCGCTCGGGTGGGAAGGGTCAATTTACCCCCCCCCCCCCCCACTCTGAGATGTCGGGAACTAAGAGAGCTAAAGACACCAAATTTACAGGGCGTGTTGACCTGTACGTGAACTCACTTAGTCAAAGTTTGAAGTTCCTAGGTCATGACCTCCGGGTCAAGTAAGGTCAAATAAGGTCAACTTCCAGGTTGTCTCCAAAGCACCCCCAGAACTTAGATAACGGTTTCTAAGCAAAAGGTCACATGCTCAGTTAAGTTCAGTGACCTTGTTTGATCTTTTAAAGGTTATGATGACCCAAATCATGCAAGAGTACTCTAAGTTTTGCATTTCAATAAGCGACAAGGATTACGCTAGGCAGTATGCTTCTAAAAACAACATGTTGATCTGGTTTATTTTAGGTCAATGACCTGTTCTAACCTCTAAGAAGTCCATGGAAGATGTGGGTTCCTGCCATCAATGAATTCGAATTGAGCACTAGAAACTATCCCATACTGCAAGCCCTAGAGTAAAAAACAGGTTGATTTTGACCTTGGTCTGACATTGTTGTTGATTGGAGTTTTAGGGCGCGCCGACTACTGTGGTCACTTTGCGCCCATAACAGCTAAATGGCTACCTACGGCGGTTAATGGTTAACAAATAAAATATATTAGTCAGAAATGAAAACGGCTGAGTTGTGAGAGGAATGCGTCACCAATGATGTCCGAATATGTGAACCCACAATAACATCTTGATACGAAATTTTCAGCAACCTAAAGACTTCTTACACGCGGAATAAACTATTCAGGCGTGTGTATACAAAGTGCAAAACTTAACATGCGATACGAACCTGAGGGCATGATTGATATATGGTGAGCTGTCACACAGTAAATCGGAGAGCGTCAGGGACAGCGCCGCCGGGCCAAAGTACCTCAGACGCTCGAAGCGTAGTATCGGATAGCATACGAGCACATGCTCCACTGTGAGCGCGGTGTTGCAGTGGCGACATCGTGGTAGTTCATCGTGACATAGTAAGTATCGATGTGTAGCATAAGTATGGCCAATCCGCAAGCGACACAGGATTACTTCCTCCCGTCTAGACTTTCAGTAGGATGACGTATAGGATGGATATAGGACGCCAGTCCTGAACAATCGGCTTAATGCTTTTGAGTTTACTGGTGCCCATCGCATCCCATGTGCTCTTCCATTCCCCACGCAAAAAGGCAGAGATGGCCGAGTATAGGTCTATAACGGGTATCGGAAACGCTCTTCGACAGGGACGAAGAGTAACACGCTTTGCGGCAGCGGCAGCCAACTCATTTCCCGCAATGCCAACGTGGTTCGGAATCCAGCAAAGTACTATGGTCTTGCCAGCCCGGTACAGACAGTCGGGACGCAGTAAAATATCCTGTATAAGGGGATTGTCCGGATTAAAACGTCTTAATGCCGAAATGGCACTTAGGAAATCCGACAAAATCACGTGCAGACTGTTTTCGCCCACCTCCATAAAGCAAAGCGCCTTAATGATGGCCACAAGCTCTGCAGTATACGCGAACGCGTGGGCTGGCAGTGTAAGTGATCGCGTATCGTGACCAGGTCTGACATTTTTACCTGACCTTAGGTCAACGTTATTTGCTCATTCAACATTGGTGTTGCCTAAGAAAGCATCTCAGCGGTGTATGGCTTCGTCTAACACTCCTTTGCGGCATCGGATTGCACGATTCCCTAGAAATTGACTTTGCTGAAATCATGACCTGACTTTGACCTGCCATAGGTCAGCGACCTTACCAGTTGCATCTATATTTTGGATGCTTAGCTATCTTCTATTCGATTTCTATAACTATGCAAAATTTGGCGCGGCGTAGTCGCGCCATTCGGAATCCATTCTGGAAAAACCTTCGCGGGTGTCAATTTGACCCCCCATCCGAACGCATGTTAACACGCGCTCAGGTGGGGGGGGGGGGGGGTCGAATTGACCCCGCCAAATTTTGCATAGCTGCAGAAAATTGAATAGCGGATCGTTTGGCATAGAACATTTAGATTTACCTTTTAAGGTCGGTGACCTATAAGGTCAAAGGTATAGCAGGTCAAAGTCAGGCCATGGTTTCAGCGGAGACAATTTCTAGGGAATCCTTCAATCTCATCCAACAACGGAGTGTTAGACGAAGCCATGCATCTCTGAGATGCTTTCTTAGGCAACACATCAGCTGAATGAGCAAATTAAATTGACCTAAGGTCGGGTATGAAGGTCACACCAAAGTCAAACCAACCTGTTTTGTTACTCTAGGGCTTGCTGTGTGGGATAGTTTCTGGTGCTTATTTCGAATTTATTGATGGCAGGAACCGCATCATACATCCTCCATGAACTTCTTAGAGGTCAGAATAGGTCATTGACCTAAAATGACCCAGTTCAGCATTTCGTTAGGACCATGCTGCCTAGCGTAATCTTTGTCGCTTAGTCAAATGCAAAACTCAAAACAATCTTGCACGATTTTGGCCACCTTGACCTTCAAAAGGTCACACAAGGTCACAGACCCTAAATGAGTATGGGGCCTTTTGCTTAGAAACGCTTATCTAGGTTCTGGGGCACTTTGGAGACCGACCTGGAACTTGACCTTGTTTGACCTTTTTGACCCGAAGGTTGTAAGCTAGGAACCTGAAACTTTGACCTAAGTGAATTCACGTACAGGTCAACACACCCTGCAAATTTGGTGTCTCTAGCTTTCTTAGTTCCCAAGATCTCAGATGGTCAAATTGATCCTCCACCTGAGCGAAGAGTGGGGGTCAATAGGTGAGTGTGGGATGAACGGGTAACGAAGGTTTGGGGGTGGGGGGGGGGGCAGGGTAGCCGGCTACCCGGGCGCGTGTTAAAGCACTGCCATGACTGCATGGGGCAGTGTGAAATATACACGGACTTTTCGAAGACTTGCTGCAATGGATGGACTTGAGGTGAAAGGATGGACAGGATGCTGTAATGTGTGAGCTGGTTGCAATGTTCAAAATAGGTGACGCTGAAAGCATATTGCAATAATAATTTGGTAGTTGCACACATGGACCTGACTGTGATTTGAGTGGATCGCATTAGCTACAAGGGCTTATGACGTGATGCAAAATTCATTGAAAGGCTCTTCGCATCAGTTGGTTTTATATGTTAGCAAGGCTTGGACGCTGTTCAGGTGCCGAACACAGCACGCGATACTGAGCTAAGGCCTCCCAGTGTTCTGAGTAAGTCAACATAGATAACATCATATATTTAACGCCACAGAACGTGACTGGCCGCCCATCTCGGGCTGGTCTGTGGACGAGTCCGAGACGCCGTCATGGCGAGGAGATCTGCTGCGCCATCCCGTCATGGCGAGGAGATCTGCTGCGCCATCCCGTGATGACGGGGAGATCTGCTGCGCCATCCCGTCATGGCGGGGAGATCTGCTGCGCCATCCCGTCATGGCGGGGAGATCTGCTGCGCCATCCCGTGATGGCGGAGAGATCTGCTGCGCCATCCCGTCATGGCGAGATCTGCTGCGCCATCCCGTGATGGCGGGGAGATCTGCTGCGCCATCCCGCCATGGCGAGATCTGCTGCGCCATCCCGTGATGACGGGGAGATCTGCTGCGCCATCCCGTCATGGCGAGGAGATCTGCTGCGCCATCCCGTGATGACGGGGAGATCTGCTGCGCCATCCCGTCATGGCGAGGAGACCTGCTGCGCCATCCCGTGATGACGGGGAGACCTACTGCGCCATCCCGTGATGACGGGGAGATCTGCCGCGCCATCCCGTCATGGCAAGGAGATCTGCTGCGCCATCCCGTCGTGGCGAGGAGATCTGCTGCGCCATCCCGTGATGACGGGGAGATCTGCTGCGCCATCCCGTGATGACGGGGAGATCTGCTGCGCCATCCCGTCATGGCGAGGAGATCTGCTGCGCCATCCCGTGATGACGGGGAGATCTGCTGCGCCATCCCGTCATGGCGAGGAGACCTGCTGCGCCATCCCGTCATGACGGGGAGATCTGCTACGCCATTTGCACCCATTGGCAACACTTGACCTCCCCTGTGCTATCAGTTGTCGGGCGCCATGACTCCCGCGGGTACGGTTGCGCAAGGACCGCGGGCAGGTTGACGGACTAGAGCAGCTTACTGGGCAAGGACGAGGGCAGATTATTGCATTACAGTTCTCGACTTCGCATTTACAAGGTGACATTTACCTGAATAGTCGCCTTGTCTCAGCGCGTCAGCTGCATGCGTCCCTGACACGGTTATGTGCAAGTTTCCGATGGGACTCGGATAACGCTGCACACATGGCAGACGACTGACCGCATTCCTCGCGCTGCATCGAAACGTGCTAGATTGCTCAGACGTGCTTTATCTAGCTGTGGGCACTCGAAGAAGTCCAGCAGCTGATCTTTTTGCAAACATAAGCTTGGTTACTTCCTTGTGATGTAACCACGCGACGTTGAGATACTTCAATGTTCGCAGGGAAGTGTTTGCCGATCCGCTAACAAGTGTACTTGGGCGTTGATAAGAAATCGCTTGCACGGGCTCCAGCTGGCAGGGGGAGAGGGGGGGGGGGGGGAGGTAACTGGCAGGCCCACCTTCAGTCCGGCACCCGTTTTATGCCAGCCGCGCCCGAGTCCTTTCATCCTTTTACTCTTTCCTGCCGCCACAAGAGAGCACCAACAGTTGCTGGCCTTTTCATGGACACCCGAGAAAATATATCACTCGCCGTGCCAGTCCGATCGGGCTGGCGGGCTCGAAGGTGTGTTGCAACGCAGGTCGATGTCATCACGCAAAGGCCCGTCGTATGCCGGTCACGCCAAACCCACTGGTCGGGTCGGGTCGGGCAGGTTTGCAGATCGCAGATCGAAGGCTCATGCAAGCTTTAGCGAAGAGAGGCGCGACCGTCCAGCGGTGGCTCTGTGTATAATGCTAGGTATGCGTATGCTGTGTATAATGCTAGGTTTGCGTACGCTGTGTATAATGCTGGGCGTGCGTGTGCGAACTGTTTAAATAGTGGCGCTGTGGCGTCCAGTAGTGGCGCTGTGTATGATGCTAGGTATGGGTATGCGAACTGTTTAATCGGGCCAGTTTGTCTGGCACATTTCAATGTACCGCTCACGATCTCCCCAACACGAACAAACGGTCGAGCGCAGGCTGAAAGCGGGTGCCAGATCTCGTCAGCGCTGCGTCGTAGCGACGTAAGACAGATTGCGACGGAACAGAAAACGGACGAGCGTGCTGGCATAAAAGCAGGTCGCTGTGTCTTTGGACGCACGCCGTCGCTGATGTCAGAGCTCAGCAACCGACACATACCGAGATCCTAAACCAAGTGCGTGGCGCAGGCGAATGTGTCGGTCGAGTCACAACACACCAATGCACGACAAAACGGCCGCATCCGCATCCGGCAGATGCGCCGGTAATGCAACCGAGGGCGGCCTGTGTCACCTTTTTCGAAGCAGATCTCGAACACAGAACAATGTGATTTGATCTGAGAGAGGCTGCATCATTAAAGCTACGCGGATGTGTTGTCCGGTTCAGGCACGTGGCCAATGGACGGGGGCTCTGATGTCCGCGTTTTTCGCAACCGGTTACTCCCAACAGAAAGTTGAAAACCGATGACGTGCGATCTCACCGATCTCCCCCCCCCCCCCCTCCAATTAAGAAAATCCTGGATGCGCCCCTGGTGTTGTTTATTGCAAACAACGCCATTCGAAATACGTGCGCGTGTATGATACTCTCGTCAAAATTTCCCGCACCGAAAATTAAGGTAGATTCTTCTATTTTTTATGTGTTAAAATGACCTTGCCTGAACGGACCGGATGCCAAATAGGTTCTACGTTAGTGTACCTCGTTAGTGTACCTGCACTTCCGAAGTTTTCATGGAATCCTAGACAGATACAGGACATATATTTCTATAGGTATTGACCACATCTGACGGTATGGGTTGCTGGAGGTGTCTGGCTCCATCAGCTGAGTTTTGTGTATCATGTACGTGATAACAACTGACGACTCTCACACCGGCTATCACCTCATTCACCCTGCGCCGCACCAGGTGCCGTTCCGTTGGTCATGTGTTTGCAGTGAATATCGAGATGTGCAGTTACGGTACTCTTGAAGCATAACAGCATCACCCAGGGTAGTATCGCATGTTTCAGGAATGTTAAAGGTTACATTCTTGCACTAGGGATGGACGGTTAGAAACCCGGTGGCCCAAGACGAAGGGAAGCTATGGCTTGGATGCCGTGCGTGGGGCAGACCAGCCTCACCTGAGCCCGAGCGACGTCATCGCGTCCACTTGCGCGCGACACGGACCGAGGCTAGACCGAGACTGGCGCCATTTAACCCGTCCCCCCCTCCCTCCCCCCCCCCCCGCCTCAGCGACGTGTCCCCCTGGACGTGGCGGTGCGAGTCGGGCCGCGCGCGACACGGGCCGAGGCCGGACCGAGGCTGGCGCCATCTAACCCGTCCCCCCTCCCCCTGCCTCAGCGACTTGTCCCCCTGGACGTGGCGGTGCGAGTCGGGCCGCTGCATGCGCCGGCCAGTCGACGAGGCGACGGACGGCATGCAGTTCAACAGTTGTAAGCTGACGTGTGGCGACCTGTCGGTGGTGTGGCCGCGGCCGACCGGGCCGGCCATGTTCGGCAAGAAGACCGTGCCCTTCCTCCTCGACCGCGTCAAGTTCACGCTGACGGCTCCCGGGCCGGTGAAGCCCATGCTGCAAGAGGCCACTGAGATCTTCCTCAGCAACTTGCGGGTGCTGCATCCGGTGCTGAAGCATCCGCAGAAGGCGGGCTGCACACGCGCCGGCCACTGCCCGCCGGCACTGGCCGAGCGCTTGCTGCGCGTAGTCGTGGTGGTTGACTCCGACATCGTCCGGTTGAGCGTCAACACCAGCGAGTTCCACCAGGTGCTCATCAACCAGACGCAGGACGGCGACATGAACGTGCTCGTGTACGCACCGACCTTCTTCGGCGCGCGCCACGGTTTGGAGACGGTCTCGCAGCTTATCAACTACGACGATCAGCACGCCTGTCTGCAGGTGATCAACATGACCATGCTGAGCGATGCGCCCGTCTACCCGGTGCGCGCGCTCACGATCGACACGGCGCGCAACTTCATCTCGCTGGCCGGCCTGCGGCGCACCGTCGACGCCATGTCGATGAACAAGCTGAACACACTGCACTGGCACATCACCGACACGCACAGCTTCCCGATCGAGGTTGGGCGCGAACCGCGCATGGCACAATACGGCGCCTACTCACCGCAGGAGGTGTACACGGCGACAGAGGTGCGCGACCTGGTGAGCTACGCCCAGCAGCGCGGCGTCCGTCTGCTGCCCGAGCTGGACGCGCCCGCCCACGTCGGCTACGGATGGCAGTGGGGCGAGAAGGCCGGCCTCGGCAAGCTGGCCGTCTGCGTCGGTGAGGTAAGAGGACGATGGCGGGGGGGGGGGGGGGTCCGAAGGGCCGCGGGCCCGGTCACGGCGGCAGGGTAATGAGTCTCGGGAAGGGTGGGGAGTGGGTTTGATTCGGGGAGGTGAGTGGTGCTCTCACTCGCGCCTGGAGAGGTGTAGATTAATAGCCGGGGCTGCATCCCGTACATGATACAATGCCCGGTTTGAGAAAAATTGAGGTCAGCGCCCTTCAGACCGGTGATTTTCAGTTACCAGCCTGATCAGAAGCCAAACATTTAGACGCACGTATGGGCTGGACAGCCTCTGGCAATGTCTGTTCATTCACCAGGACCACGCGGGAGTCGGGCAATTTGCCTACAATGAGGGGTCGATGGTGAGTCGTTGCACTGCTGTTTTCGCACGTCACAACACAGGCACGCTGTGCTATCGCGGACTGTTTAAAACAACCGCGGAATAGTGCCTCCCTAGAGCTCCTAAAGGTCGGAGAAACTAGTGTGGTAACCATCTCTGCAGACCGTCAGACAGGAACGCTCCGGCCGTTTCCAGGAGCCGTGGACTCAGTATTGTGTCGAGCCGCCTTGTGGGCAGATGAACATCATAAATGAGAACATGTACAAGGTGCTGGAGAAGATCTACGCCGACTTCAACGACATGTTCGATCCGGACATCTTCCACGTAGGAGGCGACGAGGTGAGGTTCTACGAGGCTGCCCACCTCCGTACGTCACGAGGCATGATGGCCGGACTGACGACTTTCGCGGGGATGGAGTGGTCCCACTGACGACTTTCGCGGGGGGTGGGGTGGTCCCACTGACGACTTTCGCGGGGTTGAGTGGTCCCACTGACGACTTTCGCGGGGGGTGGAGTGGTCCCACTGACGACTTTCGCGGGGTGGAGTGGTCTCGCTGACGACTTTCGCGGGGTGGAGTGGTCCCACTGACGACTTTCGCGGGGTGGGGTGGTCCCGCTGACGACTTTCGCGGGGTGGGGTGGTCCCACTGACGACTTTCGCGGGGTGGAGTGGTCCCACTGACGACTTTTTCGCTGACGACTTTCACGAGGTGATGAGTCCAGCTGACGACTTTCAAGGGGTGGGGGCTGAGGCTGCCTCACTAACGATTATCACAGAGAGGGGTGATTCAGTTGTCAACTTTTGCGAGATTAGGCAGTTTGGTTAGCGACCTTTACGATGTAAGGCAGTTCAGTTGACAACTTCCAAAAGGTGCGATGCTTCCGTTGACGAGAGACGTGAGATGGCGCAGACCTGGACAGCTTCTGATGTACTCCCAGCCCGGCTGCCAGTGCTCTGTTGCGGTCTGGGCCTTCGCAACAAGATAAGCCATGATCCAAGATGAAGCCAAGATGAGCCAATGGCCATGACACGCCTCAGGCGACGTTGTTTTGACAAATCTAAACTGATAAGGCGCGGACAGACGGAAAAGCCGAACCTGTTGACACTCAGTGTTTGCCCCAACCTTATCTAAGCTCACAGTACAGGGCTCACGGGTCCTGTTCTGGGACAGGAGCGTGACATCGATCCTATCGTATATTCGCTATATATATTCGTATATCGTATATATTCGCTCTCACTGTTGTATGTTGATGGCTAAAATTGATGCATGTTTCAATAAAGTTATGCTGTAAATACTTGAGGTCATTCAGAAATAATCTAGTCAGTAGGATATAACGTGCAACATGCAGCTTAAAATGGAATTCTGTTCAAATAAGTTACGTGACGGTCATCAGCATTTGTTTGTTTTTGGCAGACCATTCCTTTAGGCGAGGAGATGTAATTTTGTGGAGAAAATCAATCTGAGTCTCATAGTCGATCTCATCGTTGCTTTCCATTTTGTTGCACTTCTAAACGTCCATGTAAGATAATTTGGGCATGCGTGGTAAGTGTGCTTCGACAGATTAGGGACGGTACCTTTCAAGTCATTTTTACAAGCGTACAGGTTTTCCGTATGCGTCTGCGCCGAACGCCGTCGTCGCCGAATGCCCAACGCCTCACGCGCATCCACTGCCGACAGATTAACCTGAACTGCTGGAAGTCGACGCCCGAGATCGCCGCATACGTCAAGGATCACGGCGGTGACCCGACCGACGACCACGAGTACATGAATCTGTGGGTGGAGTACCAGTCGCGCGCGGCCGACATCTGGCGGAACGTGAGCGGCCACGCCATGCCGCTGGTGCTCTGGACCAGCGACCTGACGGCCATGCCGTCACGAGCCTCGCGTCTCACGCCGCACCAGTACTGGATCCAGGTGTGGACGACCGGTGATGACGCGCAGATCGGCGAGCTGCTCCGGCAGGGCTTCAAGGTCATCATGTCCAACTACGACGCCTGGTACCTGGACTGCGGCTTCTCGGCCTGGGTCGGCAGCGGAAACAACTGGTGCTCGCCTTACAAAAGCTGGCAGACGGTGTACGACAACAGCCCGCGCGCCATCGCGCGCAGCTTCCAGACGAAGGTCGACGGGGGCGGCGCGGCGCACGACTACGCCGACCTCGTCGTGGGCGGCTCGGCGGCGCTCTGGGCTGAGCAGTCGGACGACCAGACCCTCGACCAGAAGCTGTGGCCACGCGGCGCCGCGCTGGCCGAGCGCCTCTGGGCAGAACCGGAGACGGGCTCGGCCGAGGCGCTCACTCGGTTCGTGCACCACCGCGAGCGCATGGTGGGCCGCGGCGTGGCCGCCGAGTCCCTCCAGCCGCAGTACTGCCACCTGAACGACGGCGTGTGCCTGTAGCGCGGTGCCGCGCCGGGGCTGGCCACGCAGGCGGCGCAAGCAGCTGGGCACGGCAACCGCGCCAGCAGGGCGGGCCTCGTCTTCCACTGGCGGGGTGACGGGGATTTAGTAGTGGCGCTGCTCGCCGTTAGGTGTCAGCTCCAGGTGTCGCTTAAAGTGCGGTCTCCGCCGGTAGGTGTCGCGCCGGTCGGCTACCAACGATTGTCTGTGATGTCTGTCGCGTTGTCGCTTGTGTCGGTAAGCACGCTCTCCATGGGCTGCAGCGTTTGACATCAAGCTGCCATAAATAGTAATGTTTGGGAGATTAAGTTCCCGGAGGTAGCTGGTGCTGAGGTCGAGTACTTTATATCCGAGCAATTTGTGTGGTTTTAGAGATTCTGGCCACTAATCATTTGCATCACATTCTGGTCACCAATCGGGCCCAAAGCTCCATGTTTTAAACCTTGCACGGCACACGTTTAAGTTTGCATGATTGTGATCGGGTAGGTCGTGATGTGCCATGTGTAATTCTGTCGCCGTTGGTTCGCCACCCATTTCAGATTTTGCGACACGAGCTGCGCGCTCAACGTTGTCGCCAAACACTCAGTGGAGGAATGAGCGTGCAGTAAGGCAGGGTGGTAAGGCCGTGCGAGTAGCTGTTTTGGTTTTGTGCAACTTCGGAATTCCTGGGACTAGCAAACGTCTGACGCGGGTGGTTGTTAGGTTGCTATGTTAGTGCCGTTTAATTAGATTGTCTCTTCTCCTCCCTTTATTATGCCGCTAATAGCCTTAAAACATAAAGGAGAGAGCCCTTTCTCAATATATGACAGCTGAAGGGGTGCACGTTGTGTCGGTTGTCTTCAGGTCCCAGATAAGCTGGACGCATCATGTGTGTCATCTGAATGGATCCGTGGAAAAAACACGGCTGTTATGAGAGGTAGAAATGCTGAGCATAGTCATCACAAGCTATCTGATAGCGATGGCAAAAAAACGTTGATATTAGTTAGCTGTGCAGTCGGCTGATTGCAGTGTTAGTAGAAAATGGTTGTGACTTTGCTAAATGTATGCATAGCTGAAATCGTGGTGCTTCCTGGACGTCGCGGCAGCGAGAATCGGTTATAATATCGTGTCGAATCTGCATCCCTGCGTGGAGCATTGTAACACCAGTCTGACCCCACAGCAGGACACTGCGTCCAGTGCGGTCGGGTGCATATTCAGGAGGAATTACTGGTATGGCTGTAGGTGTTGGCGGAAGCACAAAACATCGAGTGTATGCTTCAATAAATGCATTGTAATGCTCCTGGTTGCACTCCTTTTTTTGTTTCCCTTGCTCATCGTTAGCTTTTCAAAATACAGAACATCGAGTGTGTTTCAGTAAATGTATCGTTATGTTTCTGGATGCACTCCTTTTCACTTCGTCTCCCTTGTTTTTCGTTTGCATTGTACTCCTTCATTTCCATTGCCCTTCGAGTCTCCATCAAAACAAATATGACGTTGGAGTTTAGATATTTTTAGATCTCCATACTATAGATCTAAACATTGGGGAAAATGTGCCTAGTGAGGTAGCGGGTGGTTACCACTGATAAGTGATATGTGACTGGTGGGCATGGCTGTAAATAACCCACTGAACAGTGAGTGGGTCGGGTGACCGAACCTATGACGCAACGGCCGCCGTCGGCCAGCACAGACGCCGTTTTCCGGAAGTTCTTGTCCAAGTTGAATCCATAGTCCAGGGATGGACCACCTGTCCGCCCAAAGGGGGTCCAGAATACCAGGTAATCCCAAAATTTCCAATTAAAGAAGTCAAACGGCTACTAGCTTCAACCATTAACATCAGTCACCGCTGGCGTCGCCGCGTTCCGTCACTCGAATCAAATGAAAAGAAAGAAATTGAGCACGGATAAGTAATGTGTATCAGAGGCTTTCGTGAAGACACCAGACCGACGCGGCAGAACGACATCCGCTGTCCAAAAAAGCAACTACAAAGATTTAGTCGCTATCCACACAATTTCCAACTTGGACTTCGGAAATGCCATCAGTCCCTGGAGTTCTGAATCCAACGGACACCTCGAGAGAGTGCCCGGTGCCCGCAGCGGTGCCCGCAAACCCTGCCGGCTCTAGACTGGTTCCCAAGTATGGGAGCTGATGCCGGTACGTCATCACTGGTCTCTCGTCGGACCGTCCCATCCACTTATGTAACAGCTCGCCGACCCCGGTGAGCAATCACATGTGTTCCTCTGAGTTACCTGTATACTTTCCTGTGTACAGATATGTCTAAGGGTGGGCGAGGCTTCCTGCTCAGTTTCGTTCCGCTCATCCTCGCTCAGCTCTGTTAAATCAGTGATAAGGAGCTTTCAAACCATGAAGTCCCACTGGAGAAATTTCATATCGGCTGAAACTCCAGCGAAGTGTTCGGCTCGTGGATCGCAGCGCCTTGCCGCCTGCCAATCCCGCACTATCCCCATACAGTCGGTAGAGGAGAGTGGCAGCAGTCGTGTCTGCTCTCAGACGCCAGTCGAGGTCATGACCTGCATTTATGTACTACTTGACAGTATGATAGCATCTCAAAGTGCACAAGAACGAGTTGCATAACAGTTTGTATCATGCAGTACGTCTTACAGGGACGAGTGCCACCGCGGGGTGCGATCCCGAACAAAGCAGAATATGTTGTCACAGCTCTCACTGCCGCATCGAGGGGCGTGGACTTTGGCGTGCACTGTGCAAATACATTTCAGCAGAAGACCCATCACCACGGTCGTGATAAACAATAGCTTTCCTTCGATAGGCCCATCTAGTGCGAAACCAGTCATTTGTGGTTGTGAAATATGTTCCCGGAACCCGGCCCTGTTGCTGGCAGCTCACCAATGCACGTGCAATTACAGCAGTAAGAACAAGCACCGCAATAACCGTCGACAGTCCACAGGTATGAGCGTTTTCTGATATGCATATTCGATCACTTATTCATCTCAGCGTGTGCAAGCTGGAATAAAAGCCGCCTCACGCCAATCTTTCGTCTCACGTTGCTGTTAGGCGTATTGCCAGACGAGAACTGAGATCAGCTCGCTAGAAAACTATGCGCCTTACATATTGCCCCGCCGTCGCCAGCATGACGGACCGCGCTTTGCTCTTCCGTGTTGCGACGGTCCGCGGTCGCGGACAGCAGCCGGCCAGAGGCTCACCATTCAGCCCCTCCGTCTCACGTGTCTTCAGTGGGTTACAGATGCATGCCAGCAGAGCCTGCAGCCCCTTCAGACTCGGTCACGAATGGTGTCCACAGTCGTAACCAAACGATGTCTCCTTTAAAATTAACGTTTTAGAAGAATGGGCCTACTACGCTCTTGGCGGCACACCAGGCCTCTTCCGCCGGCTCAGCAAGCCTCCTCCGCGCGGACCGCTGGTTCTCTTCCTCGCCTACTGGGCCTTCTCTGCCTTTTCGGCCGGCACCCAGTGTCCGTGCACCATCTGCGGTATACGGCAGTCGAAGCGAACGCGAGCCAGCGGCTCCATGCTCGCCGCGTCCAGCAGCACCAGGTGATCGGGTCGACCGCCGGTGCCCAGCAGCGTGAGAAGCAGCACGCCGTCATCCTCGGCCGCGCCGTCCGGCCGCGGCACGAACGTCGCCTCCGATGGGAACGTGGCTGGCTCGCCGCGCCACACGCGCTTCGAGCGCCCCACCATGTCCAGCTTGCCGATGCCGCTGCGGAAGGCGCCCTGGTCGTACAGGCCGCTGACGTACAGGTGACGGTAAGGCTTGCCACGCAAGCGCGGGTTAATGGTCGGGTACTCGACGCCGGCGTCCGGGAACAGGTCGAGCGTCAGCGTCACCGTGTCGCCGCTCCGCACGGCCGTCGCCGTCGTCGCCTGTGACGTCACAAGGTTAACGCCCTCGGCGGCCTTCTTGACGTCTTCCAACACGGGGATGGCGAGGCGGGTGATGCGGCCAGGGTGGCTGCAGTGCAGCTTGTTCTCGCTCATCTTGTCGAGGAACATCGCGTCCAGCATGTCCGGGCCCTCCGAGGTGACCATGTCCAGGATGATCTGGTCGCCGTCTTCGAAGGCGTTGCAGATGTGCGACTGGAAGAACGGCACATCAGTGACATACTTGGTCTTGACCAACTTGCCGTCGGTTTTATGAACGACGTACAGCTTCACGTTATACTCCGGATGCCACTCCATGCAGTCCTTGAGCGAGTTGCCCTTGACAACCATCGACATCACCTTGGACAGCACCATCACCAGCGGCTGCTCCAGCAGCACGATATAGTTCTCCGTCAGGCCGAAGGAGTGGTAGTACGAGTAGGCCGTCGTCCAGGAGGACGACATAGACAGGAGGCACTTGGCCGCTCCAAACGCCTCTCGGCCGTCCGTGGCCGCCGGTGCCGGTGGAATTTTGTTCAGCTGATACTTGAAGCCGGGAATGAAGGTGACGCCCAAGGTGTATACCGTACCGTCCGCGTCCGTCACGGGGTGCGAACAGCACAAGTTGACACCCAGCAGCTTGTACAGGTCCACCTTCTCCAGCGTTTCCAGCGAGCTGAGCTCCATCCGGTGGATCAGAGCCGTCTCGCACGCAGCGAACAGCTGGCCGTTGACGCTGTACATATTGTTGAAGTTGTTATCCGTCATGTCGGTCGGCAGGATCGACGACACCATGCGGCTGATGAAGTTCTTGGACGGGTCCGGGTGGCCGCGCGTTCCAAACTCAGTATAAATCAGCTTATTGTGCTTGACCGCCTTCTTGTAGGCGTCCGACTGGACGAAGCGCTTTTGGATGGTGACATGGCCGGCGCCGACAGCGAACCGGCACACCATGGCCAGGCCGTCGAACCAATGGCGCACGGTGAAGCCGTCGCCCAGACTGAACTTGCTCGGTCCAGCGCGGTACAGGGAGCCGGCCAGCCAGCCGGGCAGCTGGCCGCTGACCAGCTGTCCCGCCGCCGGCTGCAGCTGCTCCTCGGCGTCGTACACCAGCTCCGCCAGGCCGGGCACCTCCATGGCGAGGCCGAGATCTGCTGAGTGAGGCCGGCTTGGCGGTAGCAGCTGCGGCGCGCCCCTCCCTTCGACGCGGCGTCCGGCAGAGTGACGGCTGGTGGGTGAGAGTGGCCGTCCCGCCCAGGCGGAGGGGTGTCTCGCCGCAGACGCCCGTCAAAAGCGGCGGTGACTGGCCCACGAACGCGTCATTAACCAGACGAGGGGTGTAGATTCCCTTCAGATGGGAACGGCAGGAGTACAGTCTCAACTGCGAAAAAAAGGTTTAAAGTTTAGATGAACCCCGTTTCTGTGCATTTGAGCGATAGTTTCGATCACTTCCCTTGCTTTACCGCTGCCCACAATTATTCCGCGAGCCAACGCCCCTGCGCTAGACGGCACATCATAGAGGGCGCCGCTGTCCCGGTCCAAGCGCGGATGCAGCAGGCGTCGGGGGACGTTGTTTCCACGCCTGCGTATAGCAAACTGCTGACTCATCGAGACACGGTAACTTCACGTGATGCACGCGACAGCAAAAGCAGCCACGAAGTCAGCGAAAACTGCCAGATGCGACACGGAAAGCTCGCGTCTGCCCATGTTCCGTTGACTTGTTCTCCATTTGTCAGAGGCTGCGGCTGGCATCCACTCAAGGCCACTTTTTGGAGGGGCAGCAATTCAGGTCCGGAAGCCCGACAAACCGTTCCGACGACTAGAGCCGCAGACTTTTTCGCCGGGAGGGCCACGCTCCACCCGCACGGGATGGTTTGCACGCAGACACTGGGGGTTCACGACACACTCCATTGCTGAGCCTGTGCGGGCGCGCCCACCTATCACCCTGTCAGGAAGGGTGGGTGCCGCGGAATACTTGAAAATGGCGGGGTTTTGGAGTATGATGCAGAAAATCGTCATAAGCGTCGCGGTACGTTCTTTGATAAGATAGCCTCAGTTAAGGGCGAAACGCGATAAAACCCAAATTCATCGATACCAAAGCCGGCTTCCGACATCGGAAGGGTGCGGCCCAACAGGAAATCTTGCCCACCATTTCCGCAGCGCGTGAATGGCTTCGTTACGGACGCGAATGGGACAGATATGATGGCACTGGAAATGACGTGTCATATTTAGGCATCGCCGTGTTGTTCATCACTGAGTCATGCTGACAGCCAATTCCCTGATTACCACACAGACAAGTGCCGGCCTTCAGAGTGCTGTGTGCAGGCTTCGGTGCGGGCTGTGAGACCGTGCTATCACACGCAAAACAGCAAACCGATAAAACCCCGCCGGGATTAAATCAGCGGCCTTGCATCGGCCTCAGAGTCACCGAGCTTTCCATAAAATAACTTAAGAACTGTACAAAAAAACATAGCACTAACACTTTGAGAACCTCAGTTTTCCAAACTCTAAGCCTGTGAAAATTGCAAGGCTCCATATCTCATAGACCGCATGTGTTTTCAGTCGCTCGATAACGCACGTTTACTGTGGAATACCTGCTCTCAACGACCTTCGTGTCTTGATTTGTTTGTGCTGCCTTGCATCTTGGCAAGCTACCTGATATGGGTCTGTAATTAGAAAACGTTTCCGTCATCCAAATGCGTAAAAAAATCTTTGCAGAACTAGTATTGGGCCTTGCATGGCCTCACTCCTTATTAGGTGACGTAAGCACTTATCTGATTTAAACTGACAAAGGCTTTAAACTGACAAAGGCTATCCTTGCTTGTTTCGTCATCATATTACCTTTAGTTCTTGAGAAAAATAAATGGGTCCTATACACGAAACGGCTTGACCCATTTCATGTGTTTTAGACTAGCGGATATAGCGCATATTTAGGCTATAGCGCATTTCAACACTTTTAAAGCACGCAGTTCCCAACAAAGACAAAACCAACGTTTTCCCGTCACCCCGATTCGATCCTCCAAATGTCGCTTGCACTGACAATTAGCGACACAAATTTAGAACAGTTTTACTCAAACCAAACAATGCCGTTTCCGCTTGGTTCTAACCTCTTGGGGCCTCGAGATGGCGGAGGCTTTGACGCCCCCTCGTTCGCCAAAGGCAAGAAAAGCGCCCGTCCGCCAGGCATTAAACCACAGACGGGGTGCTCAGGTATGGCCTGAGCACATCCCAGACAGTCAGCACGTTTCCCCCGCGTCAGCCGTGACCACAGACGACCGTGAGGCTGTCCTTCGGGCCTGCACGCAACGGAGAGAGTCGTCCTACCCCCCGGCGATCTCGGAACAGCGCCGTCTCGCCGGTAACGAACCGGTTCTCTGCGCTCGCTCCTAAAACATATTTTCTTGCTCTCGCCGGAGGCAGGGCGACACTGACAGCTGATGACAGGCGACGGGAGCATTCGTGGGCCCATTCTTTCTATGCGACGCCTAGCTTGGCACAAGGGTCATGGGAATCGAAATATCGCTCAGAGACTGTCGTTGGCTCGTGATGCGGGGCATGGCCCGAAGCCACGGCCCAAGGAACTGACAGGGCGACTCATTGGAAAGCATAAAATGTGGGTAAAAGTCCAGTGCAACCCACTGACATTTGAGTAATTATCCGGCATGCAATCTTCAGCGCAACGCATGAACTTTGCACAAAGTGCAATGCGTAGGGATCATCGGTGCCCAGTATAACTCAAAGTGCGTCGTTTGTCGCAAGCGTCCTACATTAATTTGGTGCTCTGGGCATGCGCTGAGGAATCCTAACTACGGGAGCCAATCAGCCGATCGGGCCAGCGGACCGAGAGACGTTGCAGTTCGGGACCAGCCGAGGCCGCGGCCTCATTCACAATGAGGCCGTGACAAGGTGACGCTCTTAGTCACAGCCAACAAGTGATCACGAGCATGATTCTGACAGTGGTTGGCTAGACACACATGCGCTTTAACACGGACGGGGGCTGCAGCCACTGCCGACCGTGGTCAGGTCAGTGCTGCCCCGCGACTGGCGTTAGTTTAATGGGGACCGCCGGCAGTGTGGTGGACCCCGGCACGAAGGTATGTGAGGGCTGACGCAACCGTCTGTGGATTATGAGACAAACCCGCCACATAATCGCTTCGTGAGAAAGTACTTGCATATTAACCGAATGTACGGCATCTCACCGTCCATGACAAACACCTTTCACTATGCCGCCACATTTCATCTTCGACTCCATGATCGCAAATGCGTCCGCACAAATTACTGCATGCACTTCTATAAACTCCGTCTATGCATCGACGAGTCCCATTGAGAGGCCCCTTCGACTCACCACTAGGAACCAGACGGCAGACACTATCTGCACGGAATGTCGAGATACGATCTGTCCCACATAGATAGAATGGCCATTGCGTAAGCAGCGTAAGGGTCACATCCATCGTCTATGTGCAATGCGCTGTTTGATCCTCCTGTATCGCACGCGCCGACCGCCAGCCGTTTCCAACCAGGAGGCGGGATGGCTAGTCAGGCCATTCAACAGACGTCATTGGTCCACTATGCAGCTGCAAACCTCAAGAGGTAGTTGGTCGAGCACAAGAATCGGGAGGGTATTGTATTCTGGTCATTAAACCTCATACTCACGCCTTATTACATGCTAAAACAGACCCCAAGAACGCCTGGCGCGTCCGGCCGACGACGCAAGACCCCGACCTGAATCAACAGAAGCCACGGAAAATGGAACGACATGTGTGAACCGAGATCAGATCAGCAACGGACAGCCCGCGCCACAGACCGAGCAGCAGGTGCATCACCGCCGACGACCCTCCGCCCCGCCTGCCCCTCGGGCCGGCAGCGGCCGGGGACGCCGCTTGTTCCGGGCATGGATCGCTTCAGCTGAAGGCAGCCTCTCTCATACCGACGGAGTGGCCCGAAATACCCACTACGAGCGGCGCCGGCCCGTCTCGAATCGACCGCACGGGACCCCAATATGTTCCGCGGCGCTAACGCCCCTCTCCCCGTTATTGCTCGGGCGCACGCCGAACGGCACGGCTAGTCAGAGACGCGCGGAGGACCGTCACCGGGCCTCGAGCCATACGCGAAGTCCGTTCGAAGATCGCTCTATCTTTCAGTTGTTTCGCGATGCGTGTAACTGCTAGTTTGGCTGCCTCAAGCTTATCAAGGCAGGACAGCTGAAAACGGCCGATAGTAGGCCTTAACTTTCCTAGCTGTGGCCGTAAGTTGTGCATGTCACCCCCGATCAACGGCATGGCAAGCCAGATACGGGGGCAGGTCCTCTTCCGAGGACATAAAAGTCAAGCTTACGCAAGATTAAGTTGCCCTACGGGTCACCGCGCGGCGGCCGCTGGCGGCGATCAGCGCCACCGATGGGCTGGGAAGGTGACAGACGTCCGGGCAGCTGGCAAGCGCATCACCGAAAAGTGCTGGTACATTACGCGCCGGTGCACTTGGCTAGATTCGTGACGCTTCCACAAACGCACGCCCAGTCAGGCAGGCAGAGGCGGCGGAGCGGGGCGATCCTGCCGACGTCACGGCAAAACACGTGACACAACGGCTCCCCAAGTCAGCGTTGGCGCTCGCGCTGGGGCACGTCCAAGCTTTGTTCGGTCGAACGACGGGTCGGTACCCAACTGGTGGTCGAATTCCGGCATGCTGCTCGCCGAGCCTGCCCATAATTCTCTCGAGATCACATAAATACTATTTTGAACCACTTTTTTTGAAATTTGAAACACGAGCAAAGACTTTACCATCAACGTAAGAAGCACTTACCCGGCGACAGGCCCGCCCATGGGAATCTCAGTCAGATCCATGTGCGTCCTCGAGCACAAAAAGCAAGCGCAGAGAGCTCCACCTGGTGCGTGCGCCATCGAGTGTCACTGACCGCTCGAGCCGCTGGCGGTCCGCCTCGAGAGAAGCGCTCGCCGTCGCTTCCCACGCTACGGTCCCGTGTAAAAACAACTCTCTCATGCCACCGCGACCACACGGCCCGCCGGCATGGGTGGCCGGTGATGGGTCGTTACCATGTTGGTCACTGCCGAACATGCGGAGAGACACTGATCTCAACCGGACGGGCTCGCGGAGGGGCCTTCCGGAGACGCCCAGCAGCGGCAGCAATCATCAACAGCACAGATTGTCGTATCTCGTGTATTGACTCCTTAAAGGAGGGGTTGTTCCACTCAGTGCTCGGGTCAAACATCGCGCAAACACGCATTATCATGGGAGGCAATAGACCATCAAATCAAAGTCCTCGTGACAGACCCTCAGCCACGACACTGAAGTCAGGTGGGCCCCCATCCGTGCAGAGCGGGATGGTGGCCCAGTGTCGCAGCCGGCACCCATTCCCTCTGGGCCCAGGGCGAGCGGGATGGTGGCCAACGGTCGCAGCCGGCACCCATTCCCTCTGGGCCCAGGGCGAGCGGGATGGTGGCCAACGGTCGCAGCCGGCACCCATTCCCTCTGGGCCCAGGGCGAGCGGGATGGTGGCCAAACGGTCGCAGCCGGCACCCATTCCTCTGGGCCCAGGGCGACCGGGATGGTGGCCAACGGTCGCAGGCCGCACCCATTTCTCCCAGGCCCAGGGCGAGGCGCCCGCGGAGTCGCCGCCGTCCGCACGGCAGTCGCGGGCTCTCAGCGCAGCGAGCACAGCCTGGCCATCAGGAGTGGCGGGCGCGGTCACGGGCTCCCAGTGCAGCGAGCACAGTCTGGCCATCAGGAGTGGCGGGCCGCGGTCACGGGTTCCCAGTTGCAGCGAGCACAGTCTGGCCATCAGGAGTGGCGGGCGCGGTCACGGGCTCCCAGAACAGCGAGCACAGTCTGGCCATCAGGAGTGGCGGGCGCGGTCACGGGCTCCCAGAACAGCGAGCACAGTCTGGCCATCAGGAGCGGCGGGCGCGGTCACGGGTTCCCAGTGCAGCGAGCACAGTCTGGCCATCAGGAATGGCGGGCGCGGTCACGGGCTCCCAGTGCAGCGAGCACAGTCTGGCCATCAGGAGTGGCGGGCGCGGTCACGGGTTCCCAGTGCAGCGAGCACAGTCTGGCCATCAGGAGTGGCGGGCGCGGTCACGGGTTCCCAGTGCAGCGAGCACAGTCTGGCCATCAGGAGTGGCGGGCGCGGTCGCGGGTTCCCAGTGCAGCGAGCACAGTCTGGCCATCAGGAGTGGCGGGCGCGGTCACGGGCTCCCAGTGCAGCGAGCACAGTTCTGGCCATCAGGAGTGGCGGTGGCGCGGTCACGGGCTCCCAGTGCAGCGAGCACAGCCTGGTCCATCAGGAGTGGCGGGCGCGGGTCACGGGCTCCCAGTGCAGCGAGCACAGCCTGGCCATCAGGGAGTGGCGGGCGCGGTCACGACGCCAGTCAGCTCGCGGAGCTCAATCTAAAAGAAATATCAAAATCTAGTTTCATTCAAATTCGCCGATTGGCAGCAAAAGTGGTTCACTTCACCGCGGAACTGGTGCACTGGCGGACCACGAGCTGCAGGAACATGCCGTTTGTGAACGGATAACACAAAAGTGTTACAGACAAACCTTGTCAAGCTCAACAGCCACACAGAGGTGAAAGGCCTTTGCAAATCATTTAACATCCTTCATACACGTCTTGAAACTCCAAGGACGCAGCACACAGAGCGTCACTTCCAATCGCTTACAAAGCCGCAGATCACACCTGGCAGGCAACCTGTCTGACGCGCCCCAACCTGCTGCGGTGCCCCTGGCGGCCGTGGCGAGTACTAGCCGGGCTGCGGGGCCAGGCTGTCGATGTGTCGCCGCTGCTGGTCGATGACCAACTGCTGCTGGGCCAGCTGCCGCTGCAGCCGGGCGATGGTGGCCGCCTGCCGGCGCGCCTGCGGTGCGGCGGGCGACTCCCGTCAGTGACCGGGCCGTGGAGGCGTGTTGTGACTCCAGGTGGCGAGGCCCCAGCACGGCTCCCGTCAGTGACCGGGCCGTGGAGGCGTGTTGGGACTCCATGTGGCAAGGCCCCAGCACGGCTCCCGTCAGTGACCGGGCCGTGGAGGCGTGTTGTGACTCCAGGTGGCGAGGCCCCAGCACGGCTCCCGTCAGTGACCGGGCCGTGGAGGCGTGTTGTGACTCCAGGTGGCGAGGCCCCAGCACGGCTCCCGTCAGTGACCGGGCCGTGGAGGCGTGTTGGGACTCCAGGTGGCGAGGCCCCAGCACGGCTCCCGTCAGTGACCGGGCCGTGGAGGCGTGTTGTGACTCCAGGTGGCGAGGCCCCAGCACGGCTCCCGTCAGTGACCGGGCCGTGGAGGCGTGTTGGGACTCCAGGTGGCGAGGCCCCAGCACGGCTCCCGTCGCAGGATAAGGCCCATGGTGCCGGTCTTCAGCACGGGTAACGGCTCTACTGCTCTTATCACCCACCATATACGTCCATTGATGATATCGCCATCATTACCCGCATCCGACTGATGCGACAAAACTCTCTCCTAGCAGAACACGCGCGCCGAATCGCCGTCACCAAGAGGCCAAAACATCCTACAGTCACGCAGGGGCCTTGTGTGACGTCACAGTGTCAAATAT